CGCGCGGCGGCGGTCGCGGACGCTGCTGATCTGCTGGAAGCGGACGTCGAGCAGCAGGAACGCGGCGCAGGCGAGGAAGGCGCCGAGGCCGAGCGCGACGCCGAAGCGACAGGCGCCTGCGTTCCCGTTGAAGACGCAGCGCAGCTCCGGGCCGTCGTCGGAGTTCACGTAGCCCTCGTTGACGATGGGCCCGAAGACGGCGATGGAGAACACCTGCGGGCGGGGCGCTGCTCAGGGCCGGCGCGGGGCTAGGTCGCCGCGGCTCACCACGAGCGGCCACGCCTTGGGTCTGTCCCCGCGTTCCCTCGCGGCACAGGGCGCGTCTCGGTGGGGTCTTCCAGTACCTTTCCCTTAGTACCTCCCTCAGGTATCTACTAACTGTGGACCACGTGCACCGTTCAGGGAGCATCTCCTATGCCCAGGCACCGTGCTTAAAACTGCTACTTTATATGCGTTCACTCATAGGATCTTCCCAGGAAACCACGAAGGTGCCATTCACTGTTCTTACTCCCTTTACAGTGAGGAAATTAGGGCTCCAGCAGGTGAAGTGATTTGTCTGAGGTCGCACTGCTGATAAGAGCAGGGGCTGATATTCGAGCTGGGTCTTCTGCACTGCGTGGGGGCCCGTAGTGTCTCCTCAGGGCCCACTCCAGAGTGTGATTCCAGGCTGGAGCCGGTGGTGCTGGGGGAGGTAGGTGTGGAGCCAGGAGAGAGAGGCCAGGGTGTGGGGAGCACAGCAGAGGGACAGCTGCACAGAACTGTGGGCCAGGCCCTGTGTGGAACCTGCCCTCAGCTTTTAAAGCTGTCTGGCCCTGTTTCCTAACATGTCATATGTAGTAACAGGCTCAGCTCATGGGGGGTTAGGGACAGAGAAATAATGCCCACCCAGCATCCTCCACTTGGTGGGCACTCAGGGATGATGACCCCACATGACTGTGTTTGGGATCAAAAGGGGAAAGGACTGACCTTTGGGGTTCAGTTAAACATCAGCACTCTGCCGGGCCGGCTTGGCTCAGCGGTTGAGCATCGACCTATGATCCAAAAGATCGAGGTTCGATTCCCAGTCAGGGCACATGCCGGGGTTTCGGGCTCGATCCCCAGCAGGAGGCAGCTGATCAATGACTCTCTCATCAATGTTTCTATCTCTCTCTCCCTCTCCCTTCGTCTCTGAAATCAATAAAATATATATATATATTTAAAAACAAAAAAACACCCCATCAGTACTCTATCCTCATGAGAGCTGGAAGGCAGGTAGGAGGTGGACCATGATCATTTTATTTTACTTTATCTTAAAATTCTAGACCATGATCCTCTTAAGCCAGATGCTGCTCTTTTAGCTCTGGGCAGGCCTGTTTCTTAAAAAAGACCTCCAGTTTCAACTTCATTTATCTCCTTTCCCACCCCAGTTCCCAGAGATCTAGTCAAAAGGGAAACCGAGGTGCAGGATTTGGACTCACCCCCAGAGTGGTCCATAAGTCGAACCAGAGCTGGGACCTGCAGGTAGGGTTCCTACATCCTGGTCTGGCCAGAGTCACTCCACCCGGAAGGTGGAGGCCCCCTGCCCCACACTGGGCACCGCCCTACTCAAGACCCAGCGAGTAGGTGCAGCCGTTACTAGCTGGACAAAACCCTGAACTCGGCACCTCACCTCGCATCTCTCCTACCTGAAGGAGTGGAAGGGGGAGCAGGAATGCCCCACTAAGCTAGGCTGCCCCTAAAATCTGCCCCTCCCTCACCACCTCCAGTCAGCCCTCCCAAAGCAGAGCCCCATCCGGCTGCCCCACCCAGAAGGATCCCTGAGCAACATCCCCCCCAACTCACAGTTGCAACTGTGGGGCCTGGGAAGGGCCAGCTCCCTTCGAAGGAGCCGGGAGGATGCGTGTGCGGGAGCAGCAGAGGGAGGCTCTGCCGGATCCTCTCGGCTCCCGTAGCCCCCTCCTCGGGCTGAGGCTGAGCGCCCGAGCCCCTCGGCGAATCCCGTCCCCACCCCTGTGCCTGCCTCCAGGTCAGGAGAGCTGGAAAATCGGAGCGAGGGCTGAGGAAGGGGACTGTTAAACCTAAGGAGGAGTTGGGGGTGTAGGACGGCGGGAGGTGACCTCTCAAGGTCCTAGGCTGTAGTCTCCGGCCCCTCCCCCGCCCGCAGGTGGGCGCGCCCAGCCCGGTGACGTCACCCCAACCTGAGGCCGGCGGGGGAGGGGGAGGCGAGCAAGACGATGGGGGCGAGGGGCAGGGTAGGATCAGGTACCGGGACAGCGGCCACTCACCCATGACACGACCCGCAGCAGGGTCTGGGGCCGCCGCGCGAAACTCACGGGGTCCAGGGCGGCCCCCGCCCGGCCCGCGCCAAACGAAGCTCCTTCCATGGCCGGCCCCAACGGGCCTCGCGCCCTTGGCGTCCTCTGTTTGTCTGTCCGTTCGTCCAGCCGGCCGCGCCCGAGACAGCCCGGGGCTTCTGTGGAAGCTGCTGGAGCAGC